GGTCTTGTAACGTCCGACCTGCCCGGGTTTGGGTTGACCCGGGTCGGTGCGTCCCCGGTCAGAATGCGGAACATTTACCAGGCAGTCTTGGGTACGTTTCCAGGCCTCAACGTGCCAGGGGGCACGGTTGCGGCTCCTGAGGGCCCGCTCTCTCAAGGCCCCATTTTTGGACTGCCGAATCGAAGATGAGATTCGAGGATCGAGGTTCGAGGCGGTCTAGGCGATCCGGGCTGGAGCAGCTCCGAATTGGGTTCGGACTGAATTCGTTGCCACGTCAGTTCTAGTCTTTTGGCAAGATGAGCTCGCTCGCATGCTTCACCTGCGAATTCGCGTGTGACCAAGCTTGTGGATGCACGATTCCGCCCGCCGCGGTTCGCCGCGTTGCCTGTGGTGGGGCGGGCTGGGTTCGGTTGCGGGGGTGCGTTTGGGTTGCCTCGCCTCAGGTCTTCATGGACTTCGTGTTCCTCGTCTTGCTCGTGTTCCTTACCCACGTCTCCCTGCGGTGGGGGGAGGGTGAATATCCCCCCGCGTCGCACGCGCCGCCCCGTGGGCGATTTTCGGCCGAACGCGAGGCTGGCGCCCTCGGTGCGCGCGTGGTCGGGCCGCTGTAGCGGCTTTTGTTTCCTTGAGCGTGTCAGTGTGACCGTGTCAATGAGGTCGTGTCAATGTGACCGTGCCTCGGCCGTGTCAATGCGACCGTGCCAATACGACCGTGTCAGTGTGACCGCGTCTATGAGGCCGTGTCAATGGGACCGTGCCTGGGCCGTGTCAGTGCGACCGTCCAATACAACCGTGTCAGTGTGACCGTGTCTATAAGGCCGTGTCAATGCGACCGTGCCATGGCCGTGTCAATGCGACCATGCCAATACGACCGTGTCAGTGTGACCATGTCAATGAGGCCGTGTCAATGTGACCGTGCCAGGGCCGTGTCAATGCGACCGTGCCAATACGACCGTGTCAGTGTGACCGCGTCTATGAGGCCGTGTCAATGCGACCGTGTTTTTTCGATTGTGTCAATGCGACCGTGTCAGTGAAGCCGTGTCGATGCGACCGTGCCAAGAAGGCTTGGTCAATGCCTCCGTGTTCTGTGGGGCGTGTCGAGGCGACCGTGCCGGTGTGAACATGTCAAGGCGTCCGTCTCTTCGCGACCGTATCAATGCGATTGTGTAAATGCGACCGCGTCATTGCGACCGTGTCAGCGCGACCGTGTCAGCGCGACCGCGTCAATGCCACCGCGTCAATGCGACCGGTCTCCGCCGCCCAGCATGTTGACATTCATCAGGTGCAGCGCGCAATGATCGTTGTGGCGCGACGGAGCCAGCAGTGCGCGCAGGCAGCAGACGCGAGCCGCGTACGCCGTTAGGCGCGCCGCTGCCGCACCAGCGATGTGCGCTGCAACGCCCACGCTTTCCATGGGCCTGGCTGATTTTCTTGCGGCCCATGATGAGACCAGCCGCGGCGCCGAGTGGCTTCGGCAGTGCGCAGTCCTGTGCCAGGCGCCGCGGCCGGTTGCGAATGCCGCCACGGCGCGCCCGCGCCTCGCGCGCAGGACAACGAGTTTGCGTCAGCGCGCGATCTTGCGTTTGCAGATGCCGCCGCACTGTAAGGTAACCCGTCCGCGGGTAAGCGTTCCTTCTTAGCCAGAGTGATGGCTGCCGCGAGATCTCTGGCCGCGGAGGAACAGCGCGCGGCTGATCCGGCCAGCGCAGGCAGCGCGGCCGGGAGCGGGTCAGCGCCTGAGCCGATGTGCCACATGGACATCCAGGCGAAGTTGCAAGGAGGCGCCCTGGAGGATGTGGGCCAGGCGTTCTGGCCGCGGTCCGCGGCGGTCGACGCCCTCGAGTCGGACGTGAAGCGGCTGCAGCTTCGCGGCATCAGGCGGCCATTTGCGTTCGCTGACCTGAAGAAGTTCTTGCCGTTCTGGGCAGAATCGAAGAGCGCGAAAGAGGGGGCTGATGAGGGCCCGCCCAAGTCGCGGGACCTTCGCGACCTCTCGCGCGCTCGGCGTCGCGAGCCCAGTCAAAGCGAAGTCGCTCACTTTCACGCAATGGCATGCCGCCTTCGACAGGTGCGCACGTCTGCGCGCGGGGCGCGCATCCTAAAGCAACGGCGTCGTCCGAGCGCGTAGGTACGCCATCGCTTGCGTCTGCGCGGAGCAGATGTCGCTGGCTGCGACGTTCCGCCACCGCCAGAACGCCATGAAGGCCTATTTCCGTTGCTGTGCGGGCCCAGCGGCGCGGGTGCGATGCGCGCGCGGCGCGGCAGGTGGCCGCGCGAGCGCCCGCTGCCAATCGGAGTGGCATGCTTGGGCTCGTTTACGATGAGATTTGCCGGCGCGCGCGGGCAAAGACGTCTCGCGCCGGCGATGATTCTTTCGACATCGAAACTGTCGTAGCAACGATCGATGTGACTCTCTTGGGCGAGGCAGAAAACGCGCGCGACCGAGAAGGTCAGGAGCGCTCAGCCCCCCGCGGGGGCAAGGGTGCCGAGGGCGGCGGAAAATCCGGCAAGGACGGCGGCTAGTGCGCCAAGGGCGGCGGCAAGGGCAAGCGCCCTCCTGCGCCCCCGGCGGCGCCGAACGACCACGTTCGGGGCACAGGTGCCCGCGCCTTCTTCCGTTGGCGGCGCGCAGAAGGGGGCTGTCCGAGCTGGCAAGGATGCTTTGCAGAGTGGCTCGGAGGCTCCTTGGGCAGCGTGGGGGATTCTAAGAAGCTCGTCTGCCTTTTCAGAATGTTGCCCCCGTCGCTCCACCCGCTTGTGAGCCTTGCCAATTCCTTGGGGATGTGGACCATGTACTTCCAGACCGCAGAAGAATAATCAGTGCGTCACAGTTGACCTGTAGGCCAGGTGTTCAGTGGTTGCCAGGTGCTCATGGAACCCGAGCGTTTTTGCAGCGCTCGCCAAGAGGCATTGGGGGGGCTGTGCTTATCCATGCTCCAGTACATTACTTTGCACGACCATGCTCTTTACGATTGTTCCCCTTATCCGTTGTTCTCTACTCCTCCGACCCGTCTTTGCACCTGCACTATTACTACCTCATTGCATCGTTCATCGAGCACAGAGGGCCCCCCGAGTTGTTTGCGGGGGTGGTATGGGCTAGTTGTCGGAATCAGTGGGCCAGCCCCCCGAGAGCGCCGGTTTCGATTCGTGTCGCGCGTGCGGGCGAGGCGAAGCAGCGCCAGGTCGTGCACTGGCTAGGCCCAGGTCGCCCCAAAATGCGTCGCGAACCGGCGTCCGGGGCACGCGGGGTCGTCACCCGGTTGTTTCGCGGTTGTCCCAGACCCATAAAGGGGTGGCGATGTTTCATGTCGGTTTGCGCAGAACCGCACTCCGCAATACCTTGAATCGGCGGAGCGAACTGGCGAGAGGCGCCCGCATGCCAGCATCCAGGGCAAGCGATCGCCTGGGTCTGCGTCAGACCGCACTCCTTTGACCCCCCAGGGGCGCAGCAGTGTGTCGACGGATGCACGCCCGGCAGCATTTCAAAAGGAGGGGTAGGGGCGAGGGGGGGAGGCCTCGCGTTGGTCAGCGTGGGGCCACGTTCCGCCGGACACCCTGAGGCGCAGCCGCGTTGCTCGCCCTGCCGCCCCCGAGTGGGGTGGCGACGTGTCATTATGAGTCCGCGCAGCGCCATACCCAGACCTCCTGGCGTCGTGAAAAAATTACGACGGGCGGTTTTTCTATATTTTCGGCCTCCAGGGGCCCTTCCCGGGCGTCGGGGCCGTCGAAGAATGACTCGGGATGAAAAGCTGGCCCCAGGGAAAGGGTCCAGACCTCTGGGGGTCGACGTTGCGAAAAAATCACGACGTCGGGGGTCTGGGTACTCCGCAAGACTCCGCAGGGGCGCAACCAAGCGGCGACACTTGCGCATGGCAGCACCTGGGGCCACGGGGGGCGTTTTCTTGTTCGCATTCGAGTCCACACTTCGCTGGGCCCTCCTGCGGGCGCAGCAAAGTGAGATGGCAAACGGTACACGCTCGGCAGCACCGAAAGGGAGGGCGAGCAAGAAGAGAGTGACCGAGAGAGATGGTAATGCGACGAGAGATGGGGAAGCCCGATGGGGGGAAAAAATGGAATGGGCCCTCAGGGAGGGCTGCGGCCAGTTTCCCCCGATGTTTGCTGGGCGCATGCGTCGGAGCTGTGTTGTCGTGTTTTTGTTGCCTGCGCCTCATCAGTAGTCAGTTCTGTTGTGCACAGTCCTGAAGTGGACGGAAAGCCAGCCAGATGGTGATCGGATCCGACCCGTGCCATATTCTGATCGGGGCGCGTAGTCCGTCGCGCCTCTCGCCTCGCGGTCGGGCCGTAGAGCTACCGTCCCCATGCAAGGATAGGGTTTTCGGTAGCTCGGGGAGGGGACATGCACGGGTGAAGCGGAGGCGGGTTCTCCTCCTCCTCCTCCTCCTCCTCCTCCTTCTCCTCCTCCTCCGCCTCCGCCTCAACTGAGACCGCGGTCTCAGTCTGGAACCCTCTGCTGGCCACTTCCGTGCAGCCCCAGTCCCTGCCCCTGCCCCCCTCGGCGGTGCACCCCCGACCGGGCGGCGACGCGAGAGTGCGTTTCGGCGGTCGCTCCTCGCGCCTCGCTGCGGCGCGAGGCGAGAGAGGTCGGGCGGTCCAGCTATCCCAGACCTCCGCGCGTCGTGAAAAAATCACGACGGGAGGTTTTTCCTAATTTTCGGCCTCCGGGGGCCCTCGCCGGGCCTCGGGGCCGTCAAAAAACGACTCGGGACGAAAAACCCGTCCCTGGGAAAGGGTCCAGACCTCTGGGGGTCGACGTTGCGAAAAAAACACTACGTCGGGGGTCTGGGATCCCCGACCCTATCGAAAGAATGACATACTTTTGAACTTTCGGAGGTCCGCGCTGGAGCCCCCCAGCGGCGCCTCCGGCGCCGTCCCGCCGTGCTCCGCACGCCAGGGAGGGGGGGTCCAGCGCCGGTCCAAGAGATCAGGGCGGGCCTCCACGGTTGTATGTTTACGTACGTCATCATTTGATCCTCGATTTCAGCCGTTTTGGCTCAGGCTGTCTTGGCGCAGGGTTCGGTAGAGAAGCAAGCTCGCGGCCTCTGCCGCCCAGTTTTTGCACTAGACGCCATGGCGGAGGAGGAGGTCCCGTAGAAAAGATACCGATACCGTTGCTCGTCCTGGAGAGCCCTCTTCACCACGGCGGGATTCTCTTCGACAATCTGGTCAGAGTGCACCTGGGGAGGGGTCTGGGGAGCGGCGGTGTCGGTATATTGTTGGTCCCCCAGAGGCCGCCGCCACCACGGCTGCGGAGGAGCCGAAGGAGGCGAAGTTCGAGGGCGTGGTGACTGGCAAGTACAACTGGGGCGCGGACACGAAGAACAGGGCCGCGGACGCAGACATCGCGGGCGAGGCCATCACGAAGTACGCCTGGTCGGACGGGAAGAAAACGGTGAGCGTCTACGTGGAGATGGAGGGTTTGGATGACGTGGCCGACGAGGCCTTGACCACCGAGTCGGGGGAGAAGGATTGCTCGCTCACCATCGCCGCGATCGGCAGCCCCCCGAAGAAGAAAACACTGACGCTCTCGGGAGTGAGCAACGAGATCGATGGCGTGAAGCTGACGAGGAAGAAGGGCAAGAACATGGTGGTGCTGAAGTTGCAGAAAAAGGAGGAGAAGTCGTGGTTTCAGCTCCTCGAGGGCAGCGGCGGCGGTGGCGGCGGAGACGACGACGACATGGGCGGCATGGGCGGCATGATGGGCGGCATGGGCGGCATGATGGGTGGCATGATGGGCGGCGGCATGATGGGCGGCGGCATGATGGGCATGTGAGCGGCGGCCTCCACCATCACCTCACCCTCGCCTCCTGGGCGCTTGTTGCTCGCTTGTGCGTTTGGAGAGCGCGGGCGTACCTACTCGAGCACTGCACCGGGCGTGCCACCGCCCAGGGGTGGGTCCCTTCCGATGGGCCGAGGAGTTCTCAGTAGCCGTGTTCCCTGCTTCTCCTCTGGTCATGTCGGCGGCGCGGAGGCGGTCGTGTCAGCAGCGTAGGTGTTCTATGTAATGGCCTTCAGCCCATCCCACCACCATAACTCAATTGTGAGTCAAAGTTCTCAAGAATACTACTTCAAATCTCTTCAAAGCGCCCTCAACAACCTCTTTAAAACAATTCCATCGCCTATTAAAAACCTTTAAACAACTTCTTAAAGTAACCCTTGGTGGCCTCTTGGAGCCTGTTGGTGGCCTCTTGGGGTCCTCTTGGGGCCTCCTGGGGGCTCCTCGGGGCTGAGGGCTCGTCTTTGGGCCCTCTTGGGCCGTCTTGGGCGCCTCTTGGGCCGTCTTGCGGCCCTCTTGGGGGCCTCTTGGGCCGTCTTTGGGTCGATCTTTAGGGCCTCGTGAGCCGTCTTGGAGCGTCGGGAAGCCGAAAAGGCGAGAACGCCAACATCTTTCAAAAACCTAAGGCGTTTTGGAGGCCTCTTGGACCGTCTTGGGCCGTCTTGGGCGTCTTGGAGCCATTTTTCGGCAACTCGGAGCACTCTTGGACCATGTTGGGGATCTCGTGGGGTCTCTTCGGGCCCTCTTGGCCCGCGTCTTGGAGCCCTCTTGGGCCCCGGAAACCATGCGACAAGCCGCGGGGAACCGCGACACGGCCCCGATAGGTTTGGCGAATTTGGCTCCGGGCCGCACAGGATTGGGCAAAGGACCTGAGGACACGCCCACTCCGTGCTCAGCGGCACGGCGGCGGATGTCTATGGATGCGCTCGTTGCCACGGCCGGGCGCGGCTCGGAGAAGTGGCCGGAATGGGATCCCTGTGGGGTCTAGACCCTACCGGGGTCCCATTCCGGTCGCCAGACCGGTCTGGCGACCGGCCTTGATCGGAACTTGGCCGGCGAGGGCAGGGCGAGTGGCGAGTGGGGCGATCGTCTTAAGAAGGCCCCCCCCCTGCCTCTCCAGGATCCCCCGGGGCTCCGGACGCCTCCCAGGAGGGGAGCGGTCCCTCGTGGGAGAAGCCCCCACCGCCCTCTCTGCGCGCCGCCAGTCGTCGTCCCCGCGTTTGCGGCCGCGCGCTCTGGTAGACCTGCACGATCACAATCACGGCGGGCCTGAACGTAACAGCAAAAATGTGGCGGGCCTGAATCTCGTCGCTCTGTCGCCTCCCCTCTCGTTTCCTGTCCTCCCGCTTTGTCGTTTCTGCGCTTTGGGGTTGTCGTTGCGTCCCCCTCGGCCTCGTCGTCCTCCTCTCCCTCGTTCCCTCGTCGCCCACCAACAAAAAAATCGAAATCCGTCGTAACGCTCGGCGGGTGGGAAAAAAAAATGTGGCGGTCCGGAGCGGCGCGTGGGTTAGCCACGCATCGTGGGCCGAGGTAGAGGGGGATCTTGTGAGTTTCAGCGCTGCCCTCGTGGGCGAAAAGCATCTCCGTATGCGCAGCTGCGCGGCCGAAGACCCCGCGGATGCCCCGCGCGGGCACGTGTCCGTGCGACCCCGCGTATCCGCGGGATCGCGCCCCAGAATCCAGACCGCGATGGCGCGGATCTGGACATGTTTGCCGCTGGTGATGGTCGGGAGCGGAAAAGAGGGGGGTGATGACTCGGGGGGGGTGGATATCATGGCGTGGGCCATGATATTTCCCCAGATTTCATGGCGCCTCTTCTTATTTCATCACGTCCGCGGCCCCCCCGCTGGGCCGCGCACGTGCCGCCGGTCATGATTTGCACCCCCCCCTCTTGGACACCCCCCTCTTGGCCGCTCCCGAGATGGGCCGGAGGGTCGTCCGGTTCCACGGGGCCGCGCCTGACCGCGGAAGCGGCCTGGGCAAGGAGAGGATCGGCCTTGCATCCTTCGGTTCTGGCCATGCTGAGCACATTTGGTCGCGCGCATCCCTGGCTTTCGCTCCGTTTCAAGGGTATCACATCCTTCAACTCCGCCCTCATTGTTGATTTTGGCTGCACCTGATGTGCCTCACTGTCGCTCCAGCCCTCGGCGCCGCCGCGCCAGGATCTGCGGGCGCGATGCCTCGCGCGGGTTCGTGAAGGCCGGGCGGAGCTGCTGTGCCGCCTGCGAGAGCTGGACGTGCAGGGGGGGCCGACCTCGATCCAGAGCGTCGCGCGCGAGGCGTGTTTTTTCTTGTTGCTGTTTTTGTTGCAGTGCCAGCATGCTGTGCGCAATATTGATGCTCAGCAGTCGCAGCCTTCCTCCGACTATACGAAACAGAAAACCTGCATTAACATAGTTTGTTTGAGATTATCTGGGATATCTTGGATCTGCGCTGAGCCCCCCTGGCAGCACCTCCAGCGCCGCCCCTGGCGCGATCCGCGCGTCAGTGAGGGGTGGTCCGCGCAGATCCAAGAGATCTCCGCGTACCGCCGACAGTTAATGTTTATGAAGTTGTTTGATCGTCCTCTCAGGGTGATTACGCAGCAGTCGGCCCAGGGCCCAGGGATCAAGCAGGAAGGGACGTTTGAGGTTTTCGCGGATCCCCGTGGTTTTCGAGCCCCAGGCTGGCTTCAATAAGCGGCGCCTCGTCGAGTCTTCCAGTGTGCCTCGATCTCTCCCGAGCGGCCTCGGGGGGATCGCTTCTGGTTGGATTCCTGCTGCTTCGGTCGCCATGCCCCCTGAGGTCCTCGAGGTGCTGTGGGTGCCAGCACACGTTATGTTTCGCTTAGCTCTCGAGGCTTACGCCTCCGCATACCCCCACCGTGCCCGGGTTGTGGGTCAGAGGCGTATTGGAGGCCTCTCGAGGTCTCTTGGGATGTCTCTCGGAGGCCTCATGGAGGTCGATTCGGGGCTGACCCGGGGCTTATTGGTGCCTCTTGGGGCTTCTTTGTATCATCTGGGGGACTCTTGGAGACATCCTGGGGTCCTGTTGACCCTCGAAGTGTTGGTTCCGGCAATCCTCTTGGGGCTGTCTTGGGGGTCTCCTGTTTTGTTTTGTGGGACTTAATTTGCCGTCTCGAGGCCATCGTGGGCCGTCATGGGGCGCTCCTGGGAGCCTCCTGGGCTGTCTTGGGAAGATCTCGGGGGACTCTTGAGCCTCTTTGGGAGCTCTGCGGCCCGAAACGGCGAGAACACCACAATCTATGAAGCGTCGTTCTGGAGCAAGGTATAGTTTTGGCTTCCGGGTGGAGGCGATATCGGGCGCGATGTTTGGAGGGTTATTGATGTGTTTGGGGGACCTCTCGCGCGGTCATCAGGCCATCTCGGGCCGTCGTGGGGCCCTCCCGGGCCGGCTCGGTGGTCTCTCGGACTGTATGGGGCATCGTGGGGTATCTCCGGAGGCGCCCAGAGAGTGGAAGCAAAGATTTTGCGAGCATGGGGCGTGCATTCAGCATCGCTCGGACGTGTGCATGTTTCCTTCGGCGAGGACAATCGAAGAGCATCTTTTGATCATTTGGCGAAAAAGCCACGCACGGAACAGACAAGAAAACAGGGAAAGGACGTCCGAGCGATGGCGAGGGTGCTCGTGCCACCACTTCCCGCCTAGTCCCGCCCTCGAGCTGGTCTTGGGGTCCCCGGGGAGGGGGAAACCAGGGAGAGCGGCACAGGCAAACGTTGCACGCGCCTTCTCACCCCCGGCAAGCAAAAAAAAGCAAAGAAACAAACAAAAAGTCAAAGCCTCCCCCTCCTTCTCCTCCTCCTCCTCCTCCTTCTCCTCCTCCTCCTCCTCGTCCTCCTCCTCCTCCTCCTCCCTCTCCTCCTCGAGCCAGAGCGGGCACCCCCGCCCCTCTTCCAATCTATCATCTTGGGGCACCGGGGCCCCATCCAGAGCGCACGTCTGGCATCGAGCCCTGGTGCAGCACCGTTCTCAAGTCTGGAGTCCATGCCTCTTCCGACGTACAGTCGTGGCCCTGAAGAAGGAACCCTTTTCGTTGGGGAGGGGCTCCGTGTTCCTTGAGTGTTTCACAGCTGGCCTCAGGTTTCCGTATGTTTTCGATCGGAAATCGAAGTTTAATTTGTGGAAAAAAGGGGCCTCGTTCCTTATTTAGGGTTCCTTAGGTCAACGCCCCGACTGTAGTCCCGCCTGGGAGGGGACGAGCAAGGGCGAGAGTCCTGCTCGGTCCCACGCCACAAGCATCCTGGGCCGCCGAGGCAGCGGCACTGTGTCCAACTTGCGCAAACCTGCCACACACGCTCTGCTTTTCCTTGCCCATGCTGTTCTGCGTGTCGCGCGTGGCCTCTCTGGTGACTCGCTCTGCCAGTCCTCGTCGCCAGATTATTCCACAGATCTCCCCTCCTGCATTCCAGTTCTGCTCAGAACGATGCACCTTCCGCCGCGTGATGGACGAGGGACGGATGTTAACATTCACGAGTTGGGTTAAGTGTCATAGCGAACGGGCACAGAAGCTGTGGGTGAACAAATCGACTTGGGCCACCTGCTCGCACTGGCGTTTTTCTGCTTGACGGACAGATTACTCGAGAGCCCGCGCGGTAGTGTACGATGGCAGGATCATGTTTGTCCCGTTCCGTCGCCGCGTGGGTTCCAAGGATTCCCAATTTGACGAAAGGTTGGTTCAGCCCACTCTGTTTGATCACCCATGTCCAACGCTGTCAGGCCTTTTTGCTGAAATCAGTTGTTTTGATGTTGTTCGGGCGTTTCGATTGTTTACCAATGCTTAACCAATAGTGTCCGACTCCGATCACGAGTTTCTTCGGCGGGCCGACACCAATCTGCCCGAACATCCTACAGTAGGGCATCAAATATGAAACCAGCCTTCGGTAGGTGCCCCGCCGAGGTTTATTAATCCTGATGGCCCTGGGGACCCGCAGGAGCCGTGGGGCACCTCGGGAAGCTCAGAGATCGACGAACGTGCCCCGAATGTTTGATAGCACAATTTCTGAATGTTCGGTTTCAGGCGGCGCCCTGATTGAGGGGGTGACCGCGGAAATCCCGTTCGCAGTCCGTCGGGGGGCGGGCTTTTTTGCCCGTTTCAGGGACCACGCTCTGGGGCGTGACAGCGTGGCGATTGCGAGTAGAGCTGAAACGGCCCTCCAAGCTGCCTAATAAAACAAATATTTCTGAGTGTGTCTCCTGTGCTCCGTGCTTCTGCCGCGCCTTCTATCAACGGCCTGTGCCGCCGAAGCGGTTCTCCGATGAGAGCCAGCCCTGAGGTGCTGTGCGCGGAGGCGTCGCCGACGAGC